CGTTGCCAGTAGTCATGTCTCATGTAGGGCTACAATTGCCATCTAGCGGTTGGGAATTGTAATTGCATTTTTATTTATAAAATGAAAGACAGCCGAATATCAATAATATCATATAATGTGTATGAATGTAACATTTCGCTTGTGGGATGCATGGCATCATATTATCAAATGCAAGTAAACTTTTGAAACATTTAAATTAGCATTATTTTTGGCATAATAAATAATGCTATATTTAATGCTGTAAAATAATTAAAATAAAATATACTTAACCGAGACGTTGAAATGACGGCTATTGCTTGCTGGGATGTGTGATGGGCTATGTTGATAGGCTATTTGTAATCTGTGAAAAAGATACAAACATGAAGTAAAATGTGTATAATGCCAATGATACTGATTTTTGTTTCAGATAAAATTAAAGATCTTCTTCAGCCTGGTGTGATAAATGGGCTGACCCGACTAGTTCTGGTTAATGCCATCTACTTCAAAGGGACCTGGATGCACACATTTGAAGCATTAAACACTAGAGAAATGCCATTTAAAATAAACCAGGTTTGATTCAGGGGTGCAACAGCATGTGGAAAATGAATATAAAGTCCATGTGTTGAATTTTAGAAGTCATTTTGTATGTACTATGCATTTCTACATTTAATGACAATTGTCTTCCATTAGAATGAGCACCGGCCTGTGCAAATGATGTACCAGAAAGAAATGTTTCCCTTCAGATACATCCCAGAGTATGAACTGCAGGTGCTGGAGTTACCATATAAACAGGAGGAGCTCAGCATGTTGATCCTTCTTCCAAACGAAACTCAGGATGGCTCTGACCCTCTTCTGACGGTCAGCAAAAGTGCTGATGGATAGTTTTGTTGATGCTCTTGACTTGATTTTGGTGCCGTTTGTTATTTTTCAGTGTGTGCATGTATGTGTGTTTAACAGCTGGAGAGCGAGTTGACGCTTGACAAGCTGCTTGACTGGACCAAAAGAGACAAAATGGCCATGAGGATGGATATCGGAGTCCATTTGCCAAAGTTCAAGCTGGAGGTTGAGAGCTCCCTATCAGAAGTATTGCAAGAGATGGGTATGAGCTCTGTGTTCCAGGAAACAAAGGCTGATCTGACAGGCATGAGCAGTCAGTGTGGGCTCTTCATTTCAGCAGTGATCCACAAAGCATTTGTTGAGGTGAATGAGGAAGGCACAGAGGCAGCAGCAGCCACTGCAGTCATTGTAGAGTGTGACTGTTATGTCCAATTTCAAAGCTTCACAGCAGATCACCCCTTCTTGTTCTTCATCAGGCACAACCCCACTAACAGCATCCACTTCCTTGGCCGATTCAGAGGTCCATCCTAGAAAAAACATTTTTTCTATGTAACACGCAAATGAAGAAAAGTGTGATTCTTTGAATGTTTATTAAATGATTATCACACCATATACATGGATGTCTTATAAAATTGCATTATTCCAGATCACATAGAAATTTAAATTTTGAATGTCAAGGAATCTGCTTTTAGCCTACTGTAACATCCTGAGTCAGTGACGAGATGGGTTGTAATGAAGAGGTGTTTAAGTCTGTTGTTGCCCATAGTCACACCATACATTGAACTTTACTTGAAACAGAAGACACACATGCAGGGTCTCCTCAACAACATATAGCATAAGGTAATCCATTTTAACATTTAATCCTTAAAATATACTAGTATCTGTTTTCATGCTACTAGTACTTATTTTATAGCTACTATTATTAGCTACTATCAAGTATCCACTGTAAAGTTAAAATAAAAATCTTACTAGTAAAATAAAAAATAAATGTGTACTTGTATCTATTGAATAATTACTATGAGCTTATCAATAAGTACTAGTATCTTGAATACTAGTATCTGTTTAATAGGTATGAGTAAATAATAAATAAATACTAGTATGTAATAAATACTATGTAATTAATAAATACTGTTTAATAGGTTTTCAAACCTGTCCTGGAGTACCCCCAGCACTGCACATACACTTTTGTATGTCTCTTAACACACCTGATTCATCTCATCAGCTCATTAGTAGAGACTGCAAGACCTGAGTCTGTGGTCTCAAACTCAATTCCTGGAGGGCCACAGCTCTGCAAAGTTTAGCTTCAACCAGCTCCAAATCACACCTGCTTGGACGTTTCTAGTGATCCTGAAGACCTTGATTAGCTGGATCAGGTGTGTTTGATTAGGGTTGGAGCAAAACTGTGCAGAGCTGTGGCCCTCTAGGGCTGCCTTCCACTTCACTTTTAGACACACACTAGCTAACTTCCCTAAGCACTTCCCCTCGGGGGAATCCCCACTGCCATTTTGAAGTGCTTTCCACTTTGTGAAGTGAATGAGGGAAGTTTATATGGACAGACCCTCGAGCCCTTGATTTTGACCGAGGGAGCGAGTCTGACCCCTTGTCCAAATACCCCCACTTGCGGTCTTGGCCACTTGAGAGCGCAGTGCCCTTAAAGTCCGCGTGAACCGGAAGTTGCTGCCGACTTTATTTCAGTGTAGTGACGTATTTCCATCTGAAACGGAATATTGAATAGAGGGCATGGTTTTATGTTTGCGCTCCTCCTCTCTGTCTTTCACTCATAGCAATCTAATGGTTGGAGGGGTGTGTTTAAGGATATTCTGCCCAAGCCGTCAAACTGACGTCATCAGAAAAGGAACGCCATTCCAGAGCAGAAGTAAATGTTAAGATTTTGATTAAAGATTACGAAGACAAACAATTTTTTTCAGCTGATTAACTTGTGCGGATTAATTGTTCACATCATTACTAGCAATGTGCGCTAGTAAAGTAAATAAAGTCATGTTTGATTTCATGCGGACTTTAAAGCACACTAAATCCACACTATCTCGAATAAAAATCTAAAATACATGTTTGTATTAAAGTAAAAATGGATGATAAATACGCCTTTCATGTGGAATTAAATAGCAAGCACTTTTGAGTTTCTTGTTCATCATATTTATTTGAGAGGTCAGAACTGTCCGTCTTGACTGCGCTTATTTCACTCCCCCATAACGGATTCTAAGTGATCAAGGGCTTAGGACGTTCCAGTTCAGCCCATTCCAAGGGTTCCGCCAGAAGTTTTTATTTTATTTTTTTTATTATGCCATACATCAGAACAATACAACGAGAAACATTCAAATGTAAAAGAAAAATAGCAAAAGATGAACAACATTAATATAATGAAACGGTAACAAAATATAATAGACAAAAAAAATAAAAATAAAAACTTTTTGGGGCGTGTCACTTTATACAATAGCATACCTGCTTACAATATTATGAGTTCTAATAGCCTTTTTAATTGTGCAATTACACAGGACCTTACAATACAACTTGAAATCGTTTATAAAATGAGAAAAGTTTGGTTTGGAGCCCGACCACTTCATTTTATGAATATGAAACTTCCCCATTAAAATTAACAATTGTATGAAATATGCTTTATCTTTGTCAAATCCATAATCACTGAAGTATATTATTACATCAAATCCACTCAACTGCAAAGAAATATCCAATATTTTCTTAATAAAAAACTCCACATCAATCCAAAATATGTTTGCATGTATACAATGAAAAAATAAATGAAAAATAGTTTCCTTTTCACCTTTACAGAAATCACAAGAGTAATCAATTTCTAATTTAAAGCGTTCCAGCACATGTTTAACTGGATATATTCTATGCATTATTTTAAAAGAACCCTCTTTTACTTCATGTTATTAACAATTTGTCTACTGTTCGCCAAGCTTTACGCCAATTCACATCTCCAAATACAGAAGACCAGAAAAAGCGAGCTGGAGGATAAACAATGTTATTAAGTATATTCCTAATATAATTATTTGAGAGTCTATTTTGTATAATATTTGTGTTACCAATAAATATTTTACTCTTGATCTCTTCAAAATTCAAATCTTTCTCCTGTGATGCACTTCTGAGAAGGATCAAAACTTTTTGAGGGACTGCATCCATTACAACTGCAAATTCCTTAGGTCTAACTGGTATTTTAAATGTATTCAAAAATTCCTTATATGTTAATAAAACTCCATCATTGTTTAGGAGCTGTCTAACTACTATAATATTGTTTTCAAACCAGTAATCAAAATATAAAGATTTATTTTTGTATAAGATGTCTTTGTTGTTCCAAATATAGTACTTCCTTGGTGAGAAATTATGTTTGTAGGCCAGAGTCCATGCCATAAGAGCTTGTTTATGAAATTTTGCAAGCTTAACTGGTATTTTTTCAATTGAATAATTGCACTTCAACAAAAATTCGAGGTCACCCAATTGCTTGAGCAGATTGTTGGGAAAGGAGTTCCAAATACTGTCTTTATTTTTTAAATATTGAATAAGCCAATTTATTTTAAATACATTGTTTAAAGTATCATAACTCAACAGCGGTTCCGCCAGAAGTGAGCGCTCATGCAACGTAATCAATGACGTTCATCCGAGTAAACGAGACCGAGGGAAGTTTGCGAGTGAAGGGCATAAAAAAAATGAACTGGAACGCAGCCCAGGAATTGAGTTTGAGACCAATGGCTGAGGTGGATGTGTCAGATAAGGAGACATACAAAAATGTGCTGTGCTGGGGGTGCTCCAGTACGGGTTTGAAAAGTAAGTGCTAGGTTGGTGCCGATAGCCTCGTGGAGCTGACATAGCCTACTGTGTGCTCCACACAGTACACACAACTGTGCTCGCTGCGACTTGTTCGATTCCCATCTAGAGGTCTTTTGCCGATCCCGCTCCCCTCTCTCCACCCAGTGCTTTCCTGTCCGCTCTTTACTGTCCTGTCCATTAAAGGCATAAAAGCCTATAAATATATCTTTTTAAAAAGAAAAAAGAGAAATGAATACAATTATCTAGTAATACAGGGGTTCTCAACTCTGGCCCTTGAGATCCACTTTCCTGCAGAGTTTAGCTCCAACCTTGATCAAACTCACCTGCCTGTAACTTTCCTGAATACATTGATTAGCTTGTTTAGGTGTGTTTAATTGGGGTTGGACCTAAACTCTGCAGGAAAGTGGACCTTGAGGGCCAGAGTTGAGAACCCCGGTAGTATTATACACTGCAAAAAGAGATGTGTTAAAAATGACACATGTTGTGCAGAATTTTAACACATGTGGTGAGTGTGCTCAGGGACAACACATGTTGTGTCAAATTTAACACAATTTGTGTGTTAAGATGGATCACACATCTACTGTGTAATGTAATTTAACACACAACGTGTCATTTAAACACATTTGTGTGTAACTGAAAATTATCAGAAACTGCTAATTAATGTGTTAATATGACAAAAATAATAAGCATTGCCATCAATTTGTAATTCTACAAAATTGAAATAAAACAGACAGATGTAAAAATGTTAGCAATTTAATTTGTCAAAAATGTTCAGGGTAGAGAACAATGCATGCACAGAGGCACAACAAAATGTTCTAAATCTCAATTTCATAAATTTAATTTAGATGATTAGATGACACAAATGCCTTGTAATGCACTACAACTATTAGCTACAATACAGTATACATTAAAAAGTGTTACCAACATCAACTACACCTTGGATGATTGAAAACCATATAAAAAAAATAAGTACCCAATGAATAACTACTAGTACAGGGGTGGCAAACTCCGGTCCTGGAGAGCCGCAGTCCTGCAGAGTTCAGCTCCAACCCTAATTAAAACTCACCTGCCTGTAGCTTCCGAGTAACTGTTCAGACCTTGATTAGCTCGTTCAGGTGTGTTTGATTAGGGTTGAAGCAGAACTCTGCAGGGCTGTGGCTCTCCAAGACCGACGTTCGCCACCCCTGTACTGGTATATCAAATATATGGTAACACTTAAGATTAGGGAACACAATTCACTATTAACTAGTTCTTTATTATCATCCATATTAGTATATTGGCTGCTTATTAGAACTTATGAAGCACATTAAAGCCTAATTCTGCATGACCATATTCTAGATCCCTTAACACTACTCTATACCTTAACATAACTACTTCAACAACTACCTTACTTATTATCAATAAGCAGCAAATTAGTTAATAGTGAATAGCCTGTGTTCCCTTATCTAAAGTGTTACCAAAATTGAGGAATAGTAGTCCCAATTGGAATACTGTAGTTTACATCAGTCAGAACTGAATAGTTGATATCTGAATGGCAGATCCCTGTAGAAATCAATGGCAAAAATGTAAATGTTATTAGTATCTTTGGTTCTTCATTGGTAACCTCCGAAAGAGAGACAAATGTGAAGTCAAAAGTATAGCCTATAATTTGAAGCAACTGTATAGTTTTGGAGCCCTCTATAGTACATAATTATGTAATTCATAGAAGAGATATAATAAAGGGTAAAATTGAGAAGGAAGTGAAACCTTGCCAATGGGTGGGGTGCTTTTTATCCAAAATACAATCCACTCCGATCACACAAAGAAGCAGAGTGACAGTAAGCTGCTCTAAAAATATATAGTTTCTGTTAACAAGCAACTTTTCCTATTAACTAGCGGTGTAGTGGAACCAAACGACCTCAGCTGCCACATTTGTTTCTGCGCACTGTCGAGCGAGTTGTCATCAGTCATGGAGAGTCTCTCTCGTGCTAACAGTCTCTTCGCTCTGGATCTCTATCGGACTCTGAGCGAGAGCAACGCTGAGGGAAACATGTTCTTTTCCCCACTGAGCATCAGCGCAGCGCTCAGCATGGTCTACTTGGGAGCTCGAGGAGACACTGCCAAAGAAATGGAAAAGGTATGAGGAACTGACACGTTACCGTTGGTAGCTTATATTACTTTTAATATAAAATTATTATTTTAATATACTTTTTTTTTTTTTACGCATTTCGATTGTTTCTGTAAATTCTGCTGTCGACATCTAATTTAGCACCATTTAGGACTATTGAGATGTTTGGAATTTTTTTTACTGCAATTAAAGACAATACAGGAAGGAAGTACTAACATACTGCGCAGTTCAAATAATGTATAATTGTTATTTCCATTTACAGTAGTAAGGTTTATTTGCATTAAGAGGCACACTAAATCCGACACACAAAAGCTGCATTTATTTAAGTAAAATACATTTGTTTTTCTTTTGATTTTGAATTGAAAGCATGGGTGTCGGAACCACTGTATGTGAGACAAGACCCACCCACATTTTAATTCCGATGATATAGGACCCACTCACTTTTACTGTCTTCAACCCTTGTACTCTGTTCGTTTGGGGGTGAAACTCCTACAGGGACCAAAATGTAATTTTGTAACAAAATAATAGGTTTTTAAGAAACAAACGTAATTTTACTCAGTTTATTAATACTCCTCATTTGTACAAATAAATTTAAATATATATATATTTTTTAAATAGGTTTTTATACAAAAACAGCTTTTATGTAAAATTTGCGTTATAAAAGACCCACATTTCTAATTTTAATTCATGGGGATAACATGGTCAATGTGCCATAGTTTAATGCCAAACTGTTTCCACCTACTTGAAAACAAACACTTTTAAAATAAAAAAAACATGAAATTTTAACTACAGCCACCAGATGGCTCTAGAGCATTACTCAATAGCTCATTTGCATTTCCACATAGGTAGGCCTATAGATCTTTTCACAAGTTTTTTATTTAGATTTATGTTAAGAGATAAAACCATTATTGTAATATTATAAAATGACTCTTTGTCAAAGTTTAGCTTTTTTTTTTTGTACTGAAATAGCATTTTTTGCAGTTATGACATGATTACAGTCAAACCTGCATGTGGTGTTATATGTGTGTATTAGTGTGTATATGTGTGTGTTTGCATTTATTCTCCATCGTGGATGTGCTGTGGTGCCCCTCCATCATTTCTGTGTGTGTTCTTTGTTGTAGCTGATTTTTATTTGTCAAATTGTGAAAGAGAGCCACTCATGTCATGTCAATTTTTCATTTCTTATGAGTGGGTTTTATGGGTTTGGGGGATGGGGTGGGGGTAGTGTGTGTTTTTCCTTCATTGTGGATGTGCTGTGGTGTCATCCCTTTATATTCAAGGGTTGTCACTTCATTTTCATGTATTTTGTGGTCTGCATTGTGGTGGATTTATTGATTTTATTTGACAAATTAAAAAGTTAAAGGTATCGATTTGATCGTTTCCCCATTCATTTCAATGTGTTTTGATGAGTGACTTTTTCACACTAACATACAACCAGATATTAATCCAGTTTCAATCTGTAGTAGAGCTACCAAGTGTTGACAACCATAGGCCTACAAAGTCTCATGCCATTTAGATAAAAGGAAAAAAAAATTATTTCTCTTCACCTCCCGAAGTATTTATATATCAGTCATTAAAACGGAACATTTAGCTAATGACTTCCAGACTGACATTGCACTCTATGAGCTAACACTGAGAGAATGCTAGACAAAGTCTTTAGAATTCCCATTTTATCTCAGCCATTTTACGTCTTAGGCCCCAGGGAAATCTTTTTTGTTATATATATATATATATATATAATTTTTTTTCTGAAAAAAAAATGTATTCTTCATATTGGCTACTTGTATTGCTGGGTATTTAAATTGTAATTGAATAAGTCAGAGTGAAATGTGACCTTTTGTGACAGTGTCACAGGTTTTTGAGAGGTTTTATAAAATTTATTTTGCAGGTTTTGTCCTTCAGTTCTGTGTCTGATGTTCACTCTCATTTTGAGACCCTCACCTCGACTATCAACAGTCCATCAGCCTCCTACATCCTCAAACTGGCCAACCGCCTCTATGGAGAGAAAACCTTCAGCTTCTTACCTGTGAGTCCATTTCATAGATGTGGAATAACATTTTGACAAGGGCTTCTGCAGCTTAGGTCACGGATACACACATCATGCACATGCAATGAGGGCTTCAGAGAACCATGTGATCCACATAAATTAAATGACTGCAATAAAATATCAAATATTTAATTTATAATCAAATTCAACAACAATCATTTTTGATATTGTTCTCCAGTCTTGCCCATTAGAGGGTGCTCTATTCTGCCTGCAATAATGTGACATTTTCATGCATATCATGTTTTTTGTTTTGTTTTTGTGTGTGTGTGTGTGTGTGTGTTTGTATTATGCAGGAGTATTTGAACTCCACTCTGAAGCTGTATCACGCTGAACTTCAGGCTGTGGACTTCATTGGAGCATCTGACGAGTCACGACAGCTCATTAACAAATGGGTGGAAGAGCAGACAGAGAGTGAGAAATTAGTAACATCAAATCAGAATGTGGATGGGAACGTTTATAGGCTGGGGGGGGGGGGTTGTGTGCGAGAGTAATCGTTCTGCATTGTGAATGTGTGGAAGGGTTGTCACTTCATTTTCATGTATTTTGTGGTCTGCATTGTGGTGGATTTATTGATTTTATTTGACAAATTAAAAAGTTAAAGGTATCGATTTGATCGTTTCCCCATTCATTTCAATGTGTTTTGATGAGTGACTTTTTCACACTAACATACAACCAGATATTAATCCAGTTTCAATCTGTAGTAGAGCTACCAAGTGTTGACAACCATAGGCCTACAAAGTCTCATGCCATTTAGATAAAAGGAAAAAAAAATTATTTCAGCAAACGTCATTTGGGGTCAAAAAGACCCCAAACAGAGTACAAGGGTTAATTCAGCATATAAATCTGTTTACTTTCCAGAGCGCCGTCAGTCAAATCCATTCCACTTAAGGAATGCCCTAATAAATTAAAATCCATTCCGCGTTTTAGCTGCAGCCTTGATTTCTATGCTGCTGCTTACTCAAATCCATTCCACTTGGCTCATTAACAGTCCATATAAATTAAACTCCATTCCGTATTTTCACTACTCGCGCCTTCTGCACTCCTGCAACACAGCAAGGTAAACAAAGCATCTTAATCTTAGCACATCTGCTGCGGACTGTTCCGGGAAAAGATTCAAAGCTTCGAGTGTGTCGAAAACAAGGCCATCTGGTGGTTATTAAAAAATATAGCAGCCAAAAGCCTGTGAAAGACGCTCTGTCGGACGGAAGCAGCCACCACACATTCCATAGATCGACTCATGTTACGTGCACAAAAACAAACCTAACAGTGTGTGCGTTTGTTGAATTTCCTCTCTGATAAAATAATTTACCCATTAAACTGGGCATTAAATACGAATATCAATATGATTTTATAGAAGAATAATGTACAAATTGTACAAATCTAATAACGTTAAAACACTAAATATTTTTCATAAATTGGTTATAACTTATGTCATTGTCACTAACACATTGTCACTATAACTTATAACACATTTAACACTTGTTTCACAGAAGAAAAAAAATACACAGTCCTTAATGGGGGCGTTTCCTCCCACTTTACCCTATATGAATTGCATATGGCAAAAAAAATCATAAATTAAATGACTGCAATAAAATATCAAATATTTAATTTATAATCAAATTCAACAACAATCATTTTTGATATTGTTCTCCAGTCTTGCCCATTAGAGGGTGCTCTATTCTGCCTGCAATAATGTGACATTTTCATGCATATCATGTTTTTTGTTTTGTTTTTGTGTGTGTGTGTGTGTGTGTGTTTGTATTATGCAGGAGTATTTGAACTCCACTCTGAAGCTGTATCACGCTGAACTTCAGGCTGTGGACTTCATTGGAGCATCTGACGAGTCACGACAGCTCATTAACAAATGGGTGGAAGAGCAGACAGAGAGTGAGAAATTAGTAACATCAAATCAGAATGTGGATGGGAACGTTTATAGGCTAATCACTTTCAGCTTTATTCGCTTTATAGGCTATATGTGAAAGTATATTTAGTATATGACTATAAATTAATGCAAATGATCAGAACACTATAAATAATGAAATGCTGTTTTTGTTTTGTTTTCAGATAAAATTAAAGATCTTCTTCAGCCAGGTGTGGTAAATGGGCTGACCCGACTAGTTCTGGTTAATGCCATCTACTTCAAAGGAAACTGGATGCACGTATTTGAAGCAAGAAACACTAAAGAGATGCCATTTAAAATAAACCAGGTGCAATCTGCATTTTGTTTCAGGGGTGCAACAGCATATGAAAAATTAATATGAAGTTGATGTTGAATTTTTTTAAAGTCATTTTTGTATATATTATGCATTCCTTCATTTAATGACATTTGTCTTTAATCAGAATGAGAGCCGGCCTGTGGAAATGATGTACCGGGAAGAGACATTCCCTTTCAGATACATCCCAGAGTATAAACTGCAAGTGCTGGAGTTACCATATGAACAGGAGGAGCTCAGCATGTTGATCCTTCTTCCAAACGAAACTCAGGATGGCTCTGACCCTCTTCTGAAGGTCAGCAAAAGTGCCGTGAGCAGAAAAAATGGATAGTTTGAATCCTATGGAATAGTTTGGTGCCGTGTATGTTTTTTTTCAGCATGTATGTCTGTGTTTAACAGCTGGAGAGCGAGTTGACCCTTGACAGGCTGCTTGACTGGACCAGAAAAGACAAAATGGCCACATGGATGGATATCAGAGTCCATTTGCCAAAGTTCAAGCTGGAGGTTGAGAGCTCCCTATCAGAAGTATTGCAAAAGATGGGTATGAGCTCTGTGTTCCAGGAAACAAAGGCTGATCTGACAGGCATGAGCAGTCAGGATGGTCTCTCCATTTCAGCAGTGATCCACAAAGCATTTGTTGAGGTGAATGAGGAAGGCACAGAGGCAGCAGCAGCCACTGCAGGCTTTATATTTCTATGTGCCCGCAGTTCAGAAAGCTTCACAGCAGATCACCCCTTCTTGTTCTTCATCAGGCACAACCCCACTAACAGCATCATCTTCCTTGGCCGATTCAGAGGCCCATCCTAAAATGTGGGTTTTTCCTGTTTTTAATGAAGAGGAAATTATGTTTTTGTTTTAATATTTTAGCAGACAAAATTATTCACACCATTTGTATTTGTTTTTGTGTTCACAAATGGCATTATTCCAGATCATTTATTGTAATGTCATTTTAGAGTCATACATTTTGGTTTTGAGCATGACCCTTTCAGTTGTATATTTGTCTCAAATCGTTTTAGGGAAAACTGGCAAAATAAAGACTGGGTATTGTCTTTTACAATGAGTCATATTCTCTTTTATTCACTTTGTGCAGCTGAATCTGTGTAGAGCTGACAGACTCAGAACACAAGTAGTGCACAAAAAGAGAGTTCTGTAATGTGTATTTTTATGTTTCAGAAAATATAAACAACAATGGTCAAATGCTTAGAATAATGTCGATTTTTTTTTGTTTCTCATGCTCACCATAGCTGCATTTATTTGATCAAAAATACATTAAAAACTGTTATTTCTGTTATGTAAAGCTGAATTTTCATACTCCAGTCTTCAGTGTCACATGATCTTTCAGAAATCAATTCCTGTTTATTTGTATAGTGCTTTCACAATACATATAATTTCAAAGCAGCTATGCAGAAAATGTTTCAATTTCAATTTAGAGTAATCTGTTATCCGAGGTGACTGTTCGATTAATGTCCATATGGCAGAAATGTACAGTTCTAGAATGCTACAAATCATGCATTTATAAAAAAGAAAATTTCAGGTTGTGTTGTTTATCATGTATGGCATGCATATATTGCATATATTGTCATTTTACAATCAGTTTAATCAAAATATTGAAAAAAATCATGCATTTAATGTGTATTCATGCAGAAATAATAAAACACGTTTTAAAGCAATGATCAGTGTTGGGGAAAGTTACTTTTAAAAGTAATGCATTACAATATTGCGTTATTTCTGTTTCTTAGTTACTTTTTATGAAAAGTAATGCATTACGTTACTTTTGGATTACTTTTTGTCACATGGGCCGGGCTTGCTTATTTATTTTTAATAACAGAAAAACCAAGTTATATTTTTGGCTACTGTAAAGGCCCTTTCCCACCAAGAATTAAATTAATAAGGGTCTTAACAAACTTTCCTTTTGGCATCTTAATTTTTAAGGCCCTATATGGTTCGGTTCCAGAGATGTTGGAATTTCAATATGGCTCCAAGAGTAAATTGTTAAAATGTACATATTTTCAGTGTTCAAAAAAACAAATGTGGGTTAATTTGCAAAAATATGATACTTCTTTTCTTTTAAAGAGGAATGTCTGAAGAACAAATAATGTTGAAACTAGAGATGTATCTCGTTTACTTCTGTCAAAGCAACTGCATTGAACATACCTGTCTGAGTGCCATAAATATTCTTTTTCCAAAGTTTGCATGCCTATAACTCAAGAAGTATTAAAGATATCGCAATATGATTTCCGATTACAGTTCTTAATAAACTTTTCTTTTGGAATCTTCATTTTCAGGCCCTACATCATTCAGTCCCAGAGATTTGGGGATCTCAATGAGGCTCCATTTTCAGATTGTTGAATATTACCTATATTTAGTGGCTGAAAAGTAAATGTTGGTCACTTTGTATACAGCTGATACTTAGTGTACTTAAAGCAGGATGCCTGAAGAATAAGTAATGTTGAAACTAGAAATGCACCTGGTTTCCCTCTATCAAAACAATATGCACAGAACATACCTGTCGGAGTGCTAAAAATGCACTGAAATGGTCACGTTGAGGGACATTACCTTTCTCTTCATAAGATTCTATATTTGAATCAGTTTCAGGGATATTTGGAAGAAGGGATTTTGTTCATTTTAACAGCCTCTAAAGCTACCAAGAGTTCAAACACAGTATTGTAACATGTTTGAATCAAATCCCACACCTCATAGGAAAGGGTGGTTGCTTTGTCAGCAGTGATGACTAGATAAACACAAAACCACATTTAGAATGAAAATGGGTAGGATACAACAATTTGGACATGGAGCTGCACCAAGATGTAGGATTAAACCATACAGGGCCATACATAACCCCCCTGTACTGGTCGTGATCTCCGAGTATAGCCTCTGCAATGTCTGCTAAAACCTACTTGTGTTAGAAAATAACCATGTATGTAAGTGAATGTGGAAGTGTGAGAGTGAAAGTTAAAGCAAGGAATCATAATACACAAATACAGTGATAAATATGTAAGAGCTTGTTTGATTTGGGAAAAGTAAAAAATACAGTGTTTTGTATTTTCCTCATAACAGAGACCGTTGTGCTTTAAGTAATAGTCGTAGATCTTTGAATTTTGATCTTTAGGGGGTTTCAATATCAACATTAGATCGCGACACCTAGCGAAGTCTTCCTGATAGAAACAGGAAGCATTCTAGTCTTGCAGCCACAAAGGTTGGTGGGAAATGTAGTTTTGTCATACATGAAAATCAGCAGTGCTAATTTGCTAATTAAACTAATTTATCTGTAATAATAATTAGCTTGTCATGATTCTTTAATTGACACAACCTCAGCTAGGAAGAAATATACAAAAACAACAAAAACCTAGCCACAGATACTTGTAGACCAACATGTATGAAAATACATATTAGCTTTAGCCACAATGGTTGAATATCAGAGCAGTTTATTTAATTCAATCAAAAGACAAAAAATATTAATTTAACAGCAAAATGTGCATTTGTGTGTATTGTATTTTGACAGGACATTTGCAATTTATTATTATTAAATTTAGAATGAATTATTTTAGATTTTTTATTAAAGTGAAACATAATTCGGAGTATGTGCTCTTTCCCAGAGCTAAACCAGATTTCAGTTGATAAAAATCAGTCTACGTAAAAACATTCTTTCTAACTGCAACAACCTTGCTAGCAAATCAATTACAAAATACAATCATTCATGAATCAAATTGAATGGTTTGCTATTGCAAATGAATTTGAAACACCTGAATTAATGAACCTTTTATAAGCTTCTGTCTAACAAAATAACTCTCCTGTGATGTGAAGGACACCAGTATGAAAACTGTAGAGTGAATCCATAAGTGTATGTCATTTTCTATGTTCACACGAGACACGACTACAAATAAAAACATAGGCAAGTTTCAGTGATCAAAATTCATTCACAAAAGCAAAAGGTAAACCGAGACGTCCACAGTCACATCCTCACAATCTAGGAGGATCCTGAAATGTCAGCCTCTGTAGAAAAACAGAAAGGCTTAAGATTTTGATTGCATGTTGGCGGCAAACAAAATCTAATTCAGGGGAAAAAAAACATCTTTAAGTAACTGACCTGAGTAGTTTACCAACTCCATCTCGGAGAGAATGCCTTTCCAGCTTTTGTGTTTCGGAAAATCCACAATCACATCCTCAGATTTGATATCTAGACAGATGAGAGGACAATCACTTCAAATTATTTCCAACAGCAACTCTATGCATACAAATTGTTAATATACTGTGTACAATAAAATATATTCAAATAGAAAAGTAATTTTAAATTGCAAAAATATTTCACAATATTACTGTATTTACTGTATTTTTGATCAAATAAATGCAGCTTGGTGAGCATAAGATAATCTTTTTATATATAATTATAAAAATATCTTAATTATTCCAAACTTTCGGCTCCCAGTGTATATGATAAATATATTAAAGTAGTTGATGTCTCCTCAAGTCTGTTCTTTGAGAAAAATACACAGATCTTGCCTTTTACAACACCAACACTCTTGTGTGTGACATGTCCACCCCAGTTATGTTTTGGAGTAATTATGGAAGATTTCACTCTGACTCGGTCTCCAACCTTAATGTCGACTGAAACATTTTTTGTTAACAAATATAAAAAAATTAAGATAATACAGAAAGCATTTTCACTTATAAAGTGCAAACAGATAAAAAAAATGCATAGGGAAATGACCTAAATCAGTACTGGTCACAAGCTCCATTTCTGAAACTAAACCAGTCCATTTTTTATGCTCAGGAAAATCCACAATCAAAGACTCAGAATTTCTGCATCTTAATTATTCCAAACTTTCGGCTCCCAGTGTATATGATAAATATATTAAAGTAGTTGATGTCTCCTCAAGTCTGTTCTTTGAGAAAAATACACAGATCTTGCCTTTTACAACACCAACACTCTTGTGTGTGACATGTCCACCCCAGTTATGTTTTGGAGTAATTATGGAAGATTTCACTCTGACTCGGTCTCCAACCTTAATGTCGACTGAAACATTTTTTGTTAACAAATATTAAAAAATTAAGATAATACAGAAAGCATTTTCACTTATAAAGTGCAAACAGATAAAAAAAATGCATAGGGAAATTACCTAAATCAGTACTGGTCACAAGCTCCATTTCTGAAACTAAACCAGTCCATTTTTTATGCTCAGGAAAATCCACAATCAAAGACTCATCCTGAATTTCTGCAAAAATAATTAAATAAAACTTGTTTTTTTTTGTTGGTAAATATATGTCCTTTTTCTCACTCGGTGGCACACAGTAAGCCTACAAAAAACTTGCATCATCGTTTCATTTATTCTGGTAAAAAGCACAATGCATGAAGATAGCATGCCTAATGTTAGTAATGAAATCACTGTCAGTCAGTGCTCTCACTTTGAACAACACCAATGCTTTTGTGAGTGACTGCTCCCCATTTGTGCGTTGGTGTAACAACAGACGTCTTCACACGAACTTGGTCGCCAATCTTAATAACGGACTCCAGACTTGAAGATCCTGAAATGCAAGGAGCGTCACGAATGTCTGAGAGGAGCTTTCTGCTGAATAGCTGCTACTGAAATGTCATGGAAATACTGTAATTACCAAAATCATCATTATTGGTTACCATCTCCATTTCAGAGAGAATTCCCTTCCAATTTGCATGTTCAGGAAAATCAAAAATCAGACTGTCATCACATTTAATGTCTAAACAGAGAACAAGTTCATATTTTAAGGCTTGTACTTGAGTGCGGATTGCTTGTGATAACAGATAATTTATTTGAGGAAAAACTAATCTTGCCTTTTACCACACCCACACTCTTATGTGTGACATCAGCACCCCAGTTAGGTTTCGGGGTGTTAATGGAAAATTTCACTCTGACTTTGTCACCAACCTTAATGTCAATTGGAGCATTTATTGTTGACAAATCTGAAAACAAGTAAAATATTACAGTAGGCACTTTCACATTTGTGACCCTGGACCACAAAACCAGTCATAAGGGTCAATTTTTCGAAATTGAGAAAAGAACATCACCTGAAAGCTGAATAAATAAGCTTTCCATTGATGTATGGTTTGTTAGGATATGACAATATTTGGCCGAGATACAACTATTTGAAAATCTGGAATCTGAGGGTGCAAAAAAAATCTAAATCTTGAGAAAATCGCCTTTAAAGTTGTCCAAATGAAGTTCTTAGCAATGCATATTACTAATCAAAAATTACGTTTTTATATATTTACAGTAGGAAATTCACAAAATATCTTCATGGAACATGATCTTTACTTAATATCCTGATGATTTTTGGCATAAAAAAAAAAATCAATAATTTTGACCCATACAATGTATTTTTGGCTATTGCTACAAATATACCCCAGCAATTAAAGACTGGTTTTGTGCTCCAGGGTCACATTTAAGTGCACACACAACATTTAAGCTGCAGCTAAGAAACTGTCTGCAATTATTTAAATAGTCATGTCTTAAAATAGGAACAGTAAAAATGACCTGAACCAGCGCTGGCCACAATCTCCATTTCTGAAACTATACCAGTCCAGTTTTTTTGCTCAGGGAAATCTACAGTCAAAGAGTCGCCCTGAATTTCTGCAAACGCAAAAAAAAATCATTAATGTAATGTAATCATTAATGTAAAGTATGCTGCTTTTTCTCACTCTGTGATAACAGGCATTCAGTGACACAATAATAATTTCTTTCAACATTCATAATTTGTATGACTAATAGAAGTTATGAAACTCTGTGCTCCTACTTTTAACAACACCAATGCTTTTGTGAGTGACTGCTCCCCATTTGTGGGTTGGAGAAACAACTGACGGCTTCACACGAACTTTGTCTCCAATCTTAATATTGGAGTCCAGACTTGAAGGTCCTGAAATATCACATGGAGGTCCAAGATGAGTGCTTGATGGAAGACACTCATAGATTATTTTATCATGGATCATGTGTAGTTGTTTTAAACACTTTGGGCCTCATTCAACAGATGGACAACGATTTGGTTAAAGTAGGCTCTCTAGATATGTACTGCTTGGAGTCATATTCACTCTTAAAAATAAAAGTTGGCATTGATGGTTCCATGAAGAACCTTTAATATTCATGGAATCTTCACTGCGGAACCTTTTGCAACCTTTATTATTAAGAGTGTTTCTGCTGAAGCTTAAAATATTTACTTAAATACTTAAATGTTAAAACATTTATTTACCAATCTCATCATCATCATTAGTTCCTAGCTCCATTTCAGTGAGAATTCCTTTCCAGTTTGCATGTCCAGGGAAGTCAACAACCACACTGTCATCATCTTTTATGTCTAAACAGAACAAGTTCATATTGTAACACTATACTTTAGTGAGAAATTGCTTGATAAAAAATTATTTATAGTATATGAGGGGGAAAAACAGATCTTGCCTTTCACCACACCCACACTCTTATGAGTGACGTTTCTACCCCAGTTATGTTTTGGGGTGGTAATGGAAGGCTTCACTCTGACTCTGTCTCCAACATCGATGTCAAATGGACCATTTTTGGTTGACAAATCTGAAACAAGTAAAATATAATAAAACTTCTCAGATGCAATGTGTAATATTATAATAGTTAAATGTTCTAGATATTTTTAGCATGTTTTTGTTTGATGAACACGGTAGATTACCTGAACCAGCACCGCTCACATGCTCCATTTCTGAAACTACACCAGTCCAGTTTCTTTGTTCGGGGAAATCTACAGTCAACAAATCACCCTGAATTTCTGCAGAAGTATAACCAAAAAAAGTCAATAATACAAACTATCACATTTTCTCACTCTGTGGTACTATAGACTTTAAGTGAGACTACAGTTTTATATATATATATATATATATATATATATATTTTTTTTTTTAT